GGAAGATGTTTTTAAAAATTACATAAGACTATAGCATATACATTTATATATTGAAGGGTGGGTCGATCGAAAAAGATTGTTTTTAATTAAAAGAGGTCTATATACGAAAAAGGTTGGGGAACCTTTGTCAAAAATAACATTAAAGTTTTACTCAAAAGTTTTAACTGTTTTAAAAAAAATCATTTAATTTTTATTTTATTCATAATAATTAATTTTGCTAAGTTTTATAAGTTTTCTTGGTGTAATACCTGTTTGGTGTAAGGGCATCAAAATAATAATCATAAACATGTCTGCTATTAAAACTATATTAATTAGAAAAATTGTGAACAGTGTTTTATTTGATATATTTTGTTTATTTAAAAACATAAGCTATTTGTTGAGAATAATTTCTTATATAGATGTAAAAGAATAAAATGTTTATATTTGAATGAAGCTATTAAGAATGTGACTATAGATTGTTTAACACAAGGTTATATATATTATTTTAAAAGAAGACACAATTTTATGATCATGTGAAGGAAAATTTAGAAAATGAAACTTTGTAATGTTATATTTCCATTAAATACAGGTAACCCCCGTATAACACGGCACTTCTATAGCACGGATTCACTCTAACACGGTTTGAGAATTGGGACACATTCCCGTATAACACAGTGCTTTTATAGCATGGGTTCTCTGTAACACAGTTCGGGAATCCCTTGTTCAACATGAAATGTAATAAAGGGTGTGTTCTTTTATACCTCCGCGTAACTCTCCGCACGAGCATTCTAATTTTTTTCGTTGCTACATTGAATGCTCTTTCAACAAATAATCCATTTAATGGTTTAATTTTACAATTGGGACCCTTCTTTTACCTTTAAAAGCTCATATTTTAAAATTAGATTCCTCCATCATGATACTATTGATAGTGCATGTGCTGCCTTCTTTCTTTCTTTCACCATCGTTCCTAAATGCCTTACAGACAGCAGCACACTCCTGTTGTAGTGGAGACGCAAAGCAACCGCTATTAACGAAAGCACCCAAAAACTGTTGCCAGTTGATGACACTTGTGCCAAGATCATCATATAGCATTAATAATCCTCTGGTAAAATATTTACTTTAATAATAAATAAATATTTTACCCATAAAAAAATCGAATAATAAATCCGATTTAAAGAAGGATTTAACAGCACGTTTTTTAATTTTTGAAATCTAACCCCCTTTTCACACTAGTTCTTTGTTTCATATAACACGGATTTGCATAACACGGCAATATTTTGGAATGTAACTCCTGTGTTATATGGGTGTTACCTGTATTACAAAAGCTAAATACCTTGATAAATTTTTCTGGCGTAGTAAACACTAGTATTGTGTTGTATTCCAAAGACACATGGCAAGTTTTCCATCAAATATCTTTATTAGTTGAGTTGATACGGTACATTGTTTTGTACTCGTTTCGGGATTTGCCCCTCTTCAGTCAACTATAATACATTATATATATATATTTATTTATTTATCTATTACAGTAGAGAACTTACATAAAAAACAATGAGTACACAAACAATGTAAAGACATACTGTACCTTTGGTTACACTTTGTATAATTTAAAATCTTGTAAAATCTGCTTTAATCTTTTTATGGATAAACCAGTATACATTACAATTTAAAAGCATCCATATACTTTCCTGTTCGGATAGACTTTGACACAATATAATGATAAAAAAAATTTTGAGTTGTTTCCCTCCCTTTTTTCCCTTTCCTTTTTTGGTGTTTGCGCTGGTATCTTTAGTGTTGCCATGTATGAAGTTCCAGCTACTATACTAAAGATACCAGTGCAAACACCAAAAAAGGAAGGGGGAAAAGGGAGCTGAAACAACTCAAAAATTTTTAATGATTGTATTGTGTCAAAGTCTATCCGAACGCAAAAGTTTATGGAAGCTTTTTTAAATTGTAATGTATACTGGTTTATCCATAAAAGGATTAAAGTGGATTTTACAAGATTTTAAATTATACAAAGTGTTACCAAAGGTACAGTATGTCTTTATATCATTTGTGTACTCATTGTTTTTTATGTAAGTTCTCTACTGTAATAGATAAAAATATATATACAGTAGAGCATCGATTATCCGACCCCCGATTAACCGACCGTTTTAGTTGGCAAATTTCAAATGTCCGCTAGTGATGTGGCACTACAATATTTGGCTATGTCTTGGCTACTTTAATATTATTTTTGTTAAATTTTTGCATGTTTTAGCTGGCAACATGGCTCGACCATTAAAGGGCGGCCAGTATTTAAATGAGACTTAATTTTCTAATTATGAGTGGTTGTTTGTTTTGTGAGCAATAAAATAATTAAAAAAAATTTTTAATGCTACAATAGCAACGATTATTATTTAAAAAAAAAAATTGTTAGGCTTAATATCGATGAAAATTCAATGTGAAGTTGGTTAATAGCGATATACTAATATAGTAAGTACATGGGATATACTAATATACTATACTAATAATGTATTTTTTTCGGTTATTTGATTTTTCAGTTATCCGACCAACCCGAGTCCCCAATTGAGTTGGATAATCGATGCTCTACTGTATATATATTGTATTATAGTTGACTGAAGAGGGGCAAATCCCGAAACGAGTACAAAACAATGTACCGTATCAACTCAACTAATAAAGATATTTGATGGAAAACTTGCCATGTGTCTTTGGAATACAACACAATATTAGTGTTTACTATGCCAGAATTATAAAACAGGACATGGTTTCAAAAAACAAATTGATAAATTTTTTTTTTGGTAAAGAATGTTTTCAATAGTACAAGGCAAGAAATATTTTTTTAAATGCTTATAGAAATCTCAAAGAAATGAAAGAAATATAAAAAATTGTAAAGAAAATGTTTTTCCCTACCTATAATTCTGTACCCAAGCATCATTTTTAAATGCATTCTAATCTTTATAGAGTTCAATTATGTTTTCAAGAAGCTTGATTTTATTAAGGGTTTTGGATTTTTACCTAAAACATTTAATGTATTAAATTTGCTGAATATCTGTGTATTAATTAATTTTTTATTTATTTCTTTTGATTAATAATAATTTACTTTAGAAAATTGCTGAATTTAATCATTTCATATTTTACAGCTTAATTGCAATATTATATTTCATTATCTTTAGATTATTCAATTTTTTTGATTATCAATTAAACTTTATTCATAATTTAATTGAGAAATGTTTAAAAAATTATGAATAAATGATGATTAAAAAAATACATTTTATTTATAATTTTTAATAAAAAAAAAAAGTNAATATAAGCTCTCCACCTCAAATTAGTAGTGTCTTGTCCCCATACATTATACTTTTAACAGTGGTCATGCCAGTCACCTATTAACTGCTTTTCAGGGGAAAAGTTTTGAATTGAGATAACATGACTTCTGGTTTGCATCGGAAGTTTGTATATAGTTAATCAGATCCTCTTGCCCTAAGGTTTCCATATCTGATCTTGGATTTTATCTATCTAACTTTGTTCTTGAGATTAAGGAAAGATGGATGGACGATAGTTAGAATTTATAGATCTACAATTTTTTCAAATTGCAGACCTCACAGTGTAGGTTTTATATATATATATACAGTAGACCCCTGTAACGCGGGTTCCTATAACGCAGCAAAAAAATTGTGACAGTATTCATATAAAGACGCTAAAAGGGATGCATAAAACGCAGTAAAACGTCATTGCCGACTCATGTTGCGACAGGATTGGTCGAATCTGGACCAATAGTAGATGAGCAGCCGAACTACTTACATGCTACGGAGAGTTTAGATGGGTAAGTTGAGTTTACTATCATCTGTACAGTATGTAAATTAGATATCGTAAGTCTAATACAGCACTGTAATTTTATACATTTCTTGTGAAAGAAACGTTTCTTATTCAACGGCCATAAAAATTATTTCTATTAATGATGTCTCCAAAGTTCAATGAATTTTTCGCAGAAAAATAACTTATCAGAAATCGCGGCTGCCGTTTGGTGCGCTGCTCCGCGAGAAACACAAGCTTAAGCAATGGCTACGTCGAATGGTGCACACTCGGTAAGTAATCCTACAATTTTTTGTTTATAGCATAGTTTATACGGATTATTCCCAAAAAATTATACGTGTTTTGGAAATGTTGAGTCAAATTAGTCAAGAATCGATTAATTTTATGGAAGAAAACCTTTTAAACAGCCATAGTCCCTAAACTGCACATGTGTCAGGCTGTGATTGGCTCATGTATTTAAGGATTCCTACAATGCGAAATTCGTATAACGTGGAACGTATCTACCATGTTATAGGGGGGTCTACTGTATATATATATATATATCAAGTACTGTGCTGAAAGCTCAAAAATAATATCAACAAATTTATACACAGGCTAGAAAAGAAAAATAACACAGTATCTGCTCTTAACAATGACTCAGGAAAAAAATGGTCTTCACTAACTTGGGTATGGCAATGTTTTATTACTACCATCTCTCCAATGCAATAATGAGTCAGATTGTAAAACTGGGAACTCATAAAGCAGGAACTACTTGTATTCCATAATCTAAATAGGCTGAAAAGAGTTTTTGATAAAAATGTGAAAAAAAAAGTATGACATCATATCTGGTGCATGGAAAATAAGCTTTATTGGAAATGAGAACATTATGTTTACATAGGAAGATGCTGAAAATGCATATTGATATCCACTGCACATATCAGGGCATTCATGTGCACATCATAGAATTGCTGACTGCACATGATCCAGCATTGTGTTGTCCACCAAAGTGAATGCAGCATGAAGACGAGCAACCAAGTTACTTTCTTTAGTAACTTACAATTAACACCCCTTCCACCAGTTGCCCCGGATGTTTACTTCAAAGATCCAGGTGATTGTCCCATGTTTAGGATTTTATGGATATTACTGAAGACAATACACTTAATGATTATTTTGTTGGAAATTAAGCAAATCTTAAAAGTAGGACTAAATGCTGTCCTTCCTGGTTTCATTTCCAGGGAGGAAATGGTACAAACCTGTCTCTAAAGCGAGACTAATGTCAAAGAAGAAAAACAGGATGAGACAACTTCTATAGACTGATCGCAGTGTGTATTGCTAGTGTTATTTCCTTTTCCTTTCAGTGCATATATCATAGTGTTATATGTTTTTTTCCAGGACAAATACTAAAGAAACCATTCTTTTCCCTGACTGTGGGGGAGTGTAATTGTTTACAAAAGCTGTTATCGTGAGTTTTTCATCAACAGTCCCATCTGTTTTAATATGTTTCTGCCCATTGAGCGTTTTTCATTAAACTTTCAGAAACATTAACATAGATTATATTATTAAAAATTGCTTTTTTTTACACAAGAGAGATATCTTTCCAGAATTTCATTTTATGTTTTTAAAAATCATATACTCTTTTAAACTAATTTTTTTAATAATAATTATATTTAAATCACAAATTAATTTATAGAATAAATAATATATTATTCTAGGCAATAATTTTTAATTTTACAAAAATTTATTTAAATACCTCTTATGAAAGAATCTCTCTTCTTGCATTAAGTGTATATAAATTTTAAAGAGAAATACAACAATTGGCAGTATTCAAAATATTTAAAATGTGTATAAAATGTTTAATTTTAACTGTATTTAAATGTTTTATTCTGTTAAAATTTTATTCAAAATATTAGAGTTTAAAGCAAACTATACTATAAAGATTAGTTTTATAAATGTTCTCATTACTAATATTAAAATGTATTTATTATAGGTGAGAATAATCGTTTTAAAGTGCACTTCACCGATCCTCGTGTATGTAAAAGTTTTCTTCTTGGATGTTGTCCACATGATATACTGGCTGCAACAGTACGTTATTATATTTAATATTTATTTAGTTGTATAATAAATTAATTATTAATGATTAGTTTTAAATAGAGAACTATTTAATTTTATTCCTAAATAGATATTGATTAGCTGCAGTGCAGTCATTATTTGTGTGGTCTTGTATGCTTTTTGATGTGCATATATAATATTAAAGTTCATTTATTTATTTTTGTTATGTGTATAAAAATTAAAATAATCAAATGGTAACACAATAAAAGAGAGTGCAAAACAATCTTATTAAATTGAAATTAAATTTTATCATCTTGATTTCTTGAAATCAAGATGATAAAATTAGTTGCAGTGAATGATAGTAAATACAGATGATCAAGATCAGAGATGTTTAGATGTTATATATATGATGTATACATATCTATAAGCTATTAGCTAGTCAGGAGATAAATTTCAACTGAATTTATGAAAACTTTTCTTATATATAGTTAACTTTCATTACAAATTTTATTCAGTTTTTTGTGTTAATTATTAAAAAACTTGTAATATATGTGCTTAAAAGAATTGAAAGATTATTATATTGAGAACTAGATACAGTAGACTCCCTATAACGCGTAGATACGTTCCTCATTATACGAATTTCGCATTGTAGGAATCCTTAAATACATGAGCCAATCACAGCCCAACGTGTGAAGTTTACGGACTACGGCTGTTTGAAAGGTTTTCTTCCATAAAATTAATTGATTCTAGACTAATTTGACTTAACATTTCCAAAATATGTATAATTTTTTGGGAATAATCCGTATAAACTATGCTATAAACAAAAAATTGTAGGATTACTTACCAAGTGTGCACCATTCGACATAGCCATTGCTTAAGTTTGTGTTTCTCACGGAGCAGCGCACCAAACGGCAGCCGCGATTTCTGATAAGTTATTTTTCTGCGAAAAATTCATTGAACTTTGGAGACATTATTAATAGAAATAATTTTTATGGCTGTTGAATAAGAAATGTATAAAATTACAGTGCTGTATTAGACTTACGGTACCTAATTTACATACTGTAAAGATGATAGTAAACTCAACTTACTCGCCTAAACTCTCTGTAGCGTGGCGCTGGATGGCGGAAAGTGTATATATATATATATATATATATATAATTATAATAAAGTTACAATAAATTAAGTTAATATAAAATTATATATATAGTACCTAATTTATATATAATTATATGTACAGTACCTAATTTATATATAATGTACAGACGATAGTAAACTCAACTTACCCGCCTAAACTCTCCGTAGCGTGGTGCTGGACGGCAGAAAGTAGTTCAGCTGCTTGTCTGTGATGATGTTTTACCACGTTTTACGTGTCCCTTTTAGCATCTTTATACGAATAATGTCGCAATTTTTTTGCCGTGTTATAGGAATCTACGTTATAGGAACCCGTTAAGGGGTCTACTGTATTTACGAAATTTTTGGCCTAAATTTTAATATATTTAATTATTTATATAGAAAGATTTATCTTAATTTGTACATATCTTTGTTTAAACATCTTCCAATTGTGCAAGTTGGTTATATATGTAAGGTGGATGGAAAATAAATAGACCAAGTTCTGCAACTCTCATACTTTAATGTTTGTGTAACAGAACAATTCTTGCAGCTGTTCATCATCTAATAGCAACTATTGTGAAGTAGTAGTAATAGTTGCTTGCACTTATTCCATGACATTCAATTGAACGAATGTTTTTGTAAGCATGGTCTATGAGAGATTTTCCAGTGGTAGGTGCAACTTTTCAGCCAATAAATCCCCAAATCTGGCAGAAAGACTGGATGTTTTTGACAGGGAGTTTCATTTGCAATACTTCTCTTTGTATTTTGCCAAAAGACACTTGATGCCATTGCTTGTGAGACATTTGGAGGGTTGTCATTCTTGGATATGTATTCATGCCTTTGCTGTCTAAGAAGGCAATTACAAATTTTGCATATTGAAATGTAGCTAAATCTGGCCAGATGATGATACCTCTGGAATAGTCCTTATCAGTGAAGGGAAGCAGTTGATTTTTCTGACATTCTTCCTGGTAAACTTGAGCAGTGATGGTACTTTCATAAACAAAAGTATCTGAAATATTTCCAGAGGCATGCATTTTTGCTAAATGATGTATTTCTTGTAGAATTTTCCTTAGCTGGACTTTTTTCTCTTAGGCAATATCCTGATGATTCATAACATGGTAATATTGTTTTCCCTGGATGTTTCCTGGGTCATATGGGCAGTAAGTCTTGTCATCAGAAATAAGATGCTTCCTCAGACTTTTTTCATAAATTTTTCTGCTGATTCTTTTCGCTTTTTCTACTTTGTCATTTATATACTTTGGTGCAGTTTTTCTTAAGTCCATTGATTTCCAACTTCTTGGCTTTGATATCATGTAAAATTGTTTTTAGTAATGACAGTTTTGATGATATATTTCTGATGAAAGTTGATGGAGTCTGTTGATAGACTTGATTCACAATTTTTGGAGTGAATTGAGAGATGGGATGATCAAGACGATTATGATTGTTCTGTCCCATTTCTTCATATCTTTGCAAAATGGCATACAAAGTGCTTTTTCTCATATTTTGTTCCATAAAATGGGAAACAGTTTCTTTTTTCTTTTTGTTTTGCCAATAGTCATTCACTACTATGAAAATATAGTTAAATTACTTTTGGCAAGGATCTTGTTCTCATGTTTTTTCATTGACAACACACAAATTTTACTCCATGTATGACAAGGCTTGTTAGAGCATAAATCAACCATCTTTGCTTGCATGTGCACTTGCAAATTATGTAATAGGCCTGGAATTACTTTTGTCCATCTCTTTTCTCTCCACCTCTTATAAATCAGTACTACTAAATTGAGGCCGGATGACTGAGTGGTCAAGGTGGAAGCCTACTGCTCTGGGGGACCCGGGATCGAATCTGAATGGGTCAAGGAATCCCCAAGAATTTTTCAGGGGGGGTGGTCATTCGGATATGTCGGGTCCCATCCCTCACCACACGGTCACCTCAATTGTGGGCCTGGCCGAACCCATAATTGGCCTGCTATAAGAGGCCCTCTTACTGCCCACAGGGTGGAAAGAGTTTTTTAAAAAAAAAAGTACTACTAAATAATTTTTACTTTTTTTGTTAAAATTAACAAATTATTTCTATTTATTAATATTACATTACATAAAAATTTTTTGATGACTTTCATATTATTTTAAAACAATTTATTCTTGCGAGTATAGATAATTTTATTTATTTAACTTTTTTTACAATGTTCTTGAAGTGAATAAATTTACATCAATAAATCAAATTAAAACATTTAGTATTTATTTTAAAAGAAAAACAGATGACTGACTGACAGATAATTAACCAGTTGAAATGACTAATACAGTTACTCTGGAAACTTTGTTACATAACTTGAAATATTAAAAATAAGAGCTAAAGTATTGTTATAAAAAAAACTATAAAAACAAGTTGAGGATGTTCAATATTGTGTGTGTGATGAACTTTTAGGTTATTGTGTGGACCATATTTTACAATTAATTGTGACAAAGGATATGACGATGCAATATGTTCAGGTAATATTTATTTAGCATATACTTGTATTTTAGCTGTGTACTAAGCTAATAGAAACAAAAAAGTGAAGGAATATTTTATAATTAAGTCAATATTTTTAAATTATTGAACCTTTATTAAGTTGGCAAATTGACTATCACACTTAGATAATTACTGGATGGATAATTCAATTACAGTAGAGCGTCGATTATCCGAATCAATTGGGGACTGGGGTTGTTCGGAAGATTGATGTTTCGGATAACCGATTATGTACGAAAAAATATATTAATTTATCCCATCTTGACATTTTTCTCCGTTGCGTGTCGCTTCGCGTTAAATTTTCGTCGATGTTAAGCCTAACGAAGTCTATTGTATCGTTAAAAATTATTTTTTTATTTTGTACAAACAAAATAAATATATTGAAAAATATAAAAACAATAAAAAATTATACTTTAGAAGTTAATTTAGTATCAAAAACGTAAAATATTTGAATAACCCAAGACATTGCCAAAGATTGCAGTGCCACAGCACTGGTGAAAATTTAAATTTGCCGACTGGAATTCTTTTGGATGATTGACTTTCGGATAATCGACACTCTAGTGTATATACTAACTATACTTGCTACGATTATTTGTAATTATGATTCTGAATACAGGTAATTCCCATTTTATTTAATTGGTTCCTAGAAGTTACTAATACTATATAGTACTTGTATTATAATAAAAATATAGATATTATCTTTTTTAACATTAAGTTCTTTCTTTTCAAAGAAAAAATAAACAAAATTAGTACTATCAATATTTTTTGTCTGAATGCTCACTCTTTTCTGTAGGTCAACTAGAGGTAGCAGTATGCCTCTGTTGGGAAAATTCTCAAGATCATACATTTTTAATTTCTTTTAAATATTTTTTTGTTTCAAAATAGTACAAATAGTAAAAAAAACTTACAGAATATTTTATGCAAAGATCCTTAAGGGTGCTTCCAGCTTTATAACTACTTATAATTTCATACTTGTTTTCTAAAGTTATTGATCTATGATTTCTTTAATCAGTAACAGTATTATCTCTTCTTTTAGACATGTTGAAGGAATACATTAAATACTTGGAAGGCAATTATTTAAAAAATGAGCAATTATTTATTGTGACATTATCACAATGCCAGACTGCAATTTTTAAACATATTTTTAATTTATTTAATTTAAAATATAAGCTCTCCACCTCAAATTAGTAGTGTCTTGTCCCCATACATTATACTTTTAACAGTGGTCATGCCAGTCACCTATTAACTGCTTTTCAGGGGAAAAGTTTTGAATTGAGATAACATGACTTCTGGTTTGCATCGGAAGTTTGTATATAGTTAATCAGATCCTCTTGCCCTAAGGTTTCCATATCTGATCTTGGATTTTATCTATCTAACTTTGTTCTTGAGATTAAGGAAAGATGGATGGACGATAGTTAGA